TTTTAAAATATTCATCACCTGCAAGGATAAAAATATCGTCCATGTAACTTGTACAGGGTGGACTTGGAAATATTATCCCTTAGTCTCTTCTCAATCTCATTGCTAGAAAAACATCTGCCAAAATGGGACCCAATCGACTGCCCATGGCTGCGTCATCATTCTGTTTGTAAGTGGTCCCTTGTTTCCTTTAAATATAAGAATAAGTTCCCTTAATTATTCAAGAGAAATAATGAGTCGAAAATTGTTTGAAGAAATATAGTCTTAAAAAATCAACTGCTTCATGAAAGAAGTGAATCCACATCTATCGAATACATTCTCTGTTGATATATTGTGATGTTTTCCAAAATATTAGAGAACTCACAAAATTCTTTCACTCAATGAGGCATAAGAGATACAGAATGTCTACCAGCTATGGAACGAGCTTATGATAAGACGAGTTTTGCATGCAGAAGATTGGTCTGGGTGGAGTCCTAAGTTTGTGAACCTTGTACAATCCTCTCATTTGCGGTGTTTCTATCTTATGGGTTTCAGTTGTTTGTAATGGGCCTCGGAAACGTAAACATGAAGCAATGAAGTCTGTAGCTTTCTTGCAATAATGTCTGCAATGAGATGATTATTGTCCGGTGTATTGTCGATATGGGAATTTCAGGACCAGAAATCATTTCTTCATTTTGGTGATTTTACTGTCTTTAATCATAATTACTGTTCCAGATGCTCTGTCTCAATTTTAGAAATCTGTGTATGCTTCTACACGTTCCTTCATCGTAATTCATCAACCCCGTACCATAAACATGGCTCTCTTTGACTTGCAATCATTATTTATTTATATTACTCGCACGCTTTCTGCTTATGTAATGATTAGTTAACCGTCCCTTGGTCTAAACATGTTCGCCTCTTTTAAAACAGCCTCGGTGAACTTCATGATTCCCATTGCTTTTTCGCTTGTACTTAACATTAGTCAGTATGACAATGTTCCTTTTGTTTATATGCCAACAGCTCTGCACCGGGAATTCTGCAGGTGTTCTTCAAAAAGTTCACCATATCAACAGATGTGAAGTATGACTTTAAAATTGACACTGGAAGCGGAATGCAATCAGAGGAATGAACAAAGCAGTAAGGGTTTTCACAAACCATACGCTGCTAGCAAGTGAGTTTATCTCCTGTGATCAAACACCATCCGTAAAATGTCCGTGTAATAAATTTCAAAGTTATCAACATGCACATTTTAAACGATTGCAGTGGAGGATTGTTGTTGTTTGAGCTTATCAGTGGTACAAATTCCCGTCCTTCCCAGGATTTGAACTCCGGACCTCTCATATACAAAGCGAATGTGGTACCACTAGCATAATGGCAACAAAAACGCCTTCTGTGTGATTGGTCGGGAATTCAAAGCTCCGATGAATTGTCCCCAGTGAAAGGCTCCGCAAACAGTGAAACTCGAATCCGGTGCTGCCTGGGTGTAGCATTTGCTGAATGAATTGAGAATTGTGAGCAAGTGTTCACCCTGACATATGGCCTTTCCAAATCAGTACCACATTCCCCACAGGACTCTCAAATAAAGGTAAGCCAAATGTAGTTCAAAAATGAGGGATAGTTTTACAATTTTTCTTAATAGAACAGAAACGAATAACGGAATCTGCTCAATCGTTTTATACTTTTCATTTATTTATTTTTAAGCTGTTTTAGTAAAAACAACGCCGTCATGCCGAAAGTTTTATTCAAGATTCGAGCTGCACTCGACTTTGAACAGAACGCCCTCAGTTAAAATTTGGGAGACGTGGATGGACGATTTTGCCGTGAGGGTGACTTGCAAATCGATGAATAACGCGATTTTTGGAAATTATCAACACTTGTGGGTAGACAAATGACAAACACTTCGTGCTTTTAGTCACTAAATTGATTCATCTAAGCCCGATTTTGAGTGCCAACTGTACAACATACTTCTTTTGCTATGAAAGAATAATTAATATTTAATTTCTCAAAGCCTTCAAAAAGACGCCTAATTTTGTCCTTATAACATCAACATCCTGATAACACCAAACTTTCATTGAATTAACAAAAATACTGTTTAGTTCTAAACTGCTATAAAATGCTTCATTCTCCTCTAAGTGTATCATTTGAAGTTCCGTTTTAAGTTTGTATCATTATGCAATACGTGATGTCCAACCTAATGCAATCGTTAAAATTAACTATAAGTGTTAACAACTAAGTCTTTCGCCTTTCTTCAAATGCATGAAAGTTTATAAAATATAACAATTAACTTATGATATTACTAATATGTTTTGTAAGCTTAGGAATTGAAAACATTTAATTACTGATACTGCGTTAAGATGGACTACGATTGCATTTGAAATCGTTTTCCTTGTGCCTGTATGCAGCTACACCGGTTTGTGCCCCTTGATTCTGTGGGGAAAGTGTCTGATCGTTGTGCCTCCATATCATGCCGAACATGAGCAAAGAAAAGAATAGGTGATCACAGATAAGGCATGGACAGGAAATTTATCGTTAATGTTCACGGACATCACCGGTCGGCTCACGAAATGGGTGCGTAATAAGGCTGCAGGAAAGGTTCGGGAGATTGCTTTCCCTAACCGTCGTGTCACTAGTTTACTATTATAATCTCCCTTGACACAGAGTCTTATATCTAACCCTTTTCTTCCTAGCGTCATTATTTGCTCTCATTCGAATTCCTCCAGTAAATGTTTTTCACTGAGACGCTCTGGATAGCCAGTACCTAGTAGTATTTTCTTGAGATTTTCTAATTATTGATCAAGATCGTCGTGCGAGTGAATTCTCTGCGCAATCTACGAGGCATTGAACCAGGTTCCGATTACGCGTAATTGTCACGAAACTTCAATAGTGAAAATATTGACCGGTCCATGTTGGTTTTTGACAAACCGATCGCCTCAAACTGCCGTCGTTACGTTTTGTTAGGTTTACATTGACAGAATGGAATGCGCATTCCGTTTCTAGTTCTGATGTGAAATTGATAGCATTATGAGCTTTGTTGGAAATTTCTGTCAGTGTTTCCAGTGAGATTTCTTTATTTACCAGGACAAAAATGTCGTTTACAAATAAGCATTATGGTGGCAGGGAAGCAATCGTATCACGGATCTCCTGATTTTCGAGTTTTGCAACGAATACATCTGACAACAAAGATCCAAGTGGAGAACACATGGTTACTTCATCAGTTTGTCTATATAAATCTCTGTCGAATAGAAATGGGACTTTGAATGTGCACCTTAATGACAGTTCTTTCAGGTTGATTACCGAGATGCCAATGTTTATATCATTCGTTGTGACGCAGTCACATAAATAATCGATATCTTCTAGTAGAGAAAAATTTGTAAATAGTGACGTTACGTCTAGAGAATCCATGGTCAAATCGTTTGCTTTTTCCTTTACAAGCTCCACGAATTCAAAGGTATCTTTCAGCGTTTGATGAGCATTATTTCTACGAACAAATTATAATAATTCTTCTAGTCGTCGATTACGTGGTGATAGTGGGACAAGCTCATATCCAGTATTGTTCGCAATGAGATACGCGGCTTACGCTTTTTGGGTAGACTGTATAGACGAGGAATGGAGGTGTCAGTGGGCCTTAGCCTTTGAAATGAAATTCTGGTCTCGAAGTGTTTACAGAGATCACGTTAGTCCTTCTTCGGTTATGTTAGTTTTGTTCTTTTCCCTGTTCCTTTTTAGAAATTTTGATTGATCTCCCAAGATGCTTTTCATTTTATTCACATTTCAATCCAGGGGGTGTCACGTTGTGGTCAATGCAGTCTGAGTGGTTGCACGAATCCCCTTTGAGAACAAAGTGATGGATTTAACGATCGAATGGCCACGTTTTCCGCTGTTGCGAAATGACGTTGACGGATGGCTTTCGAAGGATTTGATGGTATCCCCAGATGATTGGAGCTGGCCATCGCTAAAATGCATGGTTCACCCGAATTACTCACTTCGGTTAGCCTTCTGATGTTCTTGCCATTCAATTAAGGTTTTTCCCTCGAACTTTATTTTCACGTTGCATATACATTCATTATCTCTTCTATTTGTATCGCATAGCAAGAATATATCTTGCCGTAATTTAGTTACTTCTATTTTTGATGTCTGCTTGCGCACCAAGCCCGTATCGACTTACGTCATGTGATATAATGACACCTTTATGCGTAACCAAATTATTTCATAATTTCACCTTTAATGATGTTCTTCTACAGCAGATTTCCACGTCCATTTCAATTTCCCGATTTTAGATAGAGATATAATTGTGGATTCGGTGAACATTCCTGAGCAATGCAAGCTTCCGTTGCTACACGGTATTTGTCGTGTAATTCACAGAGTTTGGGGTTATAGTACTCAGTTGGAAAGGTGCATCCCATTTACATACACCGGTTGTGCTGGCAACAGGAATCGCTTCGACAGCGAATGGGCTTGTTCATCTGTTTGCACTCCCGGCAAATACCAAACATCGATCGGAAAGATTGAAATTCAATTGCCCAAACAATAAAATAAACGATTTATTTGAATTGATTTGTGCGATTCGACAATCATTTCTGTGATTCTGGTTGACCAGCCGTACCAAGTGTGATAGGCATGGAATTGCTTCGAATGGGTTTAACTTGCTGAATTGACTGATTTTGGACAGCACAGTGAGATGTCATGTCTAGGATGTTCTTCGTCTGACAGTGATAAGATGTCCTGTTGTTTTCTCATTGTTTCACTTCCTAATGGGGGGGTATAGGTGTGAGTAAAATAGCGTAAAACTAGGGCTATGGAAATGATCAGTCATTCTCTGTCTCTCTCTTTGAAGGTTATGTGAAACTTCAGCCCGTTGGGGAATGTTGTAGTTCTCGAAGAGACTATGTGGACACATGCAACTACCTTTACCTATATTAATAGTATTTCCCCATTTAAGTAAATCTCGAAAAAATGATTAGCTACGGAACTCAATTTTTATCGATTTCAGATTGATTCCTATACAGACCACATTTTGACGGGTTCAGTCAGTCTGATCTACGAGAACTGTGTTTCGGTAATTATCGACTATACCAGTTAACTTGTCTCAGTTTGTGAGGTAAACATTCATAGACGCATTGGTAACGGAAATACGCAATTACCATGTGCACTTACTTACTCGGTATTTCGGTTACAATATCTGATGGTATCTGTCACCTTCTGCGTCTTCTATACTCTGCCGGTAGTCCCCCTTCAAATTATGTGTTGTGTATCCGCCAATTAGGTTGCTTGCGTACGCACTTTAATGGAAGGGATCAAATTTCTTTTTAAAGATAGGCGATTTCGACGAATCACTTTAGTAAAAATCTCATGAACTATAAATATCCAACGAACGTTCATTTATTTTTCACCAACTTCAATCTATTAAATAGCATATTAAATTGTTATCTCTATTGAAATGTGCGTTACAATTTATATCTATGCCCAATTTCACTTTAAATCATTTATGTTCAGGGATTGATGAACGAACGTTTTCTTGAAAAAGCCTGCAGATTGAAGATTTAGGGTAGATCAACAGTTTTGACGGGACCAGATCACAGGCATCTTACATTTGTTCATATGAAAGTCTTCTTCTAGCTGGCTCTTACATCGAATTGCGTCGCTTTTCATGCAACTATTCTCCTCATTGCGGCTTTCACAGTGAGTAATATGTTTATTATGCTTCCAAGTCGATTGCAACACTATGGAACCCGTTGTTTCAGCCACAATCGAGTTTTCGGTGCTTCAGACGCAGATCCCGCACACTACACCATCTCTCCTAATGGGATGTGGTAAATCATGCGTGACATCAGTCAACTATAAATTCGGGTCCCAACCAACACCAGAAATATCCATGGTGATAAAATGGATGTAATGCCATCAGAACAAATGATGCGGCACCAGTCCGTGAACATTCGTCCATTCCTTGTCAGTCATTTCTTGATTCCTATCATTGCGTTTTTCATTTGTGGTCTTACATAGAATGGAGTAACGAAATCTATGGGCAATTGGGCCTTGTGTCATTGATCGCCGTTTCTCGGTCATATGTTTGAAATGAATTTGGATGTTGGGGATTGGAAGAAGCATTTCACACATACCAGAATCAGCTACCGGTCGATGTGTGTTGTTTGAACACATTTTGAATAAGAGAACAGCTGTACTGTTATCTTCCAACAAACATTCAGTTATCGAAAGATTAAAAGTTTAACTATAATACCCTCTGGTTAAGCGGAGCTGAATTCTACCAGGCGCGTCCCCTGGGGGATACCTTCACCAAAGAAGGTTAGCTGTGAATACTTTGTGGCATACCGTAGCAAATAAGCAGTCGCGAACAAACAGCGGCGGCACTACCAGGGTGTGGTGGGTTTCAGGCTGATCACCTTGCGTCCGTTTAAAAGCCGCATAAGCCAAATGACGGTATCGTGACGAAGATCGATGTGACTGGCGTTTTCAAACTAAAGCCATTGACCCCCTCACTTCCGAAGCGAGGGATTACTTTGCACTGTCTTGCAGTTCACACTTGGTTGTGCAAAAGCTAGAGGTGCGACCTCAAAATAAAAAACGCCGAGTGACGCTGGGAATGTATCTCGTACCAAACTACCAAGTAACTTCATGATCATGATCATGTCTCAAGCGGGCTTCTCTTTTCCAAGGATCCAGAAGCAGTAACATAAAGCAAAATTATGTTACATCGAAAGTAGAACATAAACAAAATTTAGGGAGAAATATCTGTCACTATTCTAATCACCATGATGAACCCAAGTCACCGGGTAAAACTTTTCATATACGTCATTGTAATTAACAATGGAGCATTGTCTCTACAATGGTGACTGAATCGCGAAATATGAACGATATAGTGGAAAACTATGATCATTGCTTCCATTGTTTTGCAGTAATCCACTCTCCTGTCAAGCTTATCAACAATTTAAAAATTTTCCAAGTAAAACCAAACATAAATAACTTGGAACTTTTTGACAAGCTTTTGGTCAAAACGAGTATTGGCAATTCGCATCTGGACGAAAATTCGTTGAGTATATTTGTAGTTTTGCAATTTTCGGAAGCCTAAGGCAGCACCGGAGTTAGCATCCAATTGAGTACTTTATTACGTTTTATTTCATTGCTTGTTGTACATTAGTGATTCCTTTTGTCAACAGAGCAAGAAATGCGGTCACACAGACACCAATTGTGGTATATTCAAAAAACGATTTCGTAAATTATTTGAGATTTTGAAATGAGAGTATTTGATTGGATTTTAATTACGTGTGAGACCGTTAATCAATCCCAGGCTCCAAACAAATTCATATCCCGAGAACCCTA